GTTTAACACATTCAGAATTTTCGTCCTTAATAACTTTGCAAATTTATTCTTCATTTTGCTACATTATTTTCTTGTGAGAGAGAATATAAAACACTTAGTGTGTTCGTTGCATAAATATATTGTAGTGCTGCATATATTTGTTGTAGATCATTTCATCCTGGGAGATAGACATCCATATTCTGAAAGCACCGTGGAAAGGACGAATCTGTCTTAAGGACACAGTGTCAAACACTGGACTTGATCAAATGATTATTCGAAGAAATTAATCAAATAAGTTGTTTAATTTATTATTTTGTTTTATTTATTTATTTAAATTAGATTTTAATTTTATTTTTGTAACAAAATAAAATCTGCTTTTATTTATTTATTCTATTTCTAGTTTGATTTTTGTAATCAAACAAATTTCTCTCATTTCCTTTATTTCTTTGTTATTCTGTTTGTTGTTAAGTACACAAACAGAATTAATTAATTACAGTGAAGATTGTCCGACAATCTTAAGACAGATCTATTTTTTGGTATCTTCATTGTATTTAATTTTCTGTGATTTCATAAAGACATATTCTGGTTGGAAAAATAAATAGTGGTTTATGCTATTTGACAGATAGTAGTAATATACTGTCTCTTTTATTTGACAACTAGTAGTAATATACTGGTGTCATTAACAATTGCAGAATATTAATTTGTGTTACAGAAATTATTGTGGTATTTTATTTTTCTAGTTTTAGTAACAAGGAAAATAAAATTATTTTGTGTAATAATTTATTTTCTGGTTTTAGTAACTAGAAAATTAATTTATGTTTTAATTTTTTCTGATTTTTGTAATCAGAGATTATGGCTACTACAACTGAAACTGCAACTGGTAATAGTACTCCGATTGTTACACCAATACCAGTCCCTATCCAGAACTATGTTCATGGACCAATAAATCATGGAGAAAAATCAGAAAAATTTAACGATACTGAGTTTAAGAGATGGCAGCAGAAGATACTGTTCTATTTTACAACTCTTAATTTGGCCCGGTTTCTCCATGAAGAGACTCCAGCATTTAAAGAGGGTGAAAGTGATCGGCAAGTTATTGCCGCCGTAGATGCTTGGAAACATTCAGATTTCCTGTTCAGAAACTACATCCTCAATGGCCTTGACAACATACTGTATAATGTTTACAGTCCTCTAAAGTCAGCAAAAAAATTGTGGGATTCTTTGGAGAAGAAATACAAGACAGAGGATGCCGGTACGAAGAAATTTGTCGTCGATAAATTCTGGACTTCGTTATGGTAGACTCCCAAACGGTAATTTCTCAAGTTCAAAGTTTTCAATTAATTTTACATGATATTCATTCTGAAGGTATGTCTCTAAGCGAGTCGTTCCAAGTCGCTGCTTTAATGAAAAAGTTACCACCGCCTTGGAAAGATTTCAAAAATTATTTAAAACATAAACGCAAAGAGATGACCATGGATGAACTAATTGTAAGACTGAGAATTGAGGAAGATAACCATAAGGCTGAAAAGAGGAATGAAAAAAATCCTATTGAGTCCAAGGCTAATGTGATTGAACAAGTTCATAAACCACATAACAAAAAAAGGAAGTTTACTAGAGATGGTCCTAAACAAGGCGACAATAATGGTAACAAGAAGTTCAAAGGGAAATGCTATAATTGTGGTAAGATTGGACATCCAGCTTCTGACTGCCGCCGCCCTAAGAAAGATCATGGAAGTACAAGCAAGAAGACTACCAATCAAGCAAATGTAATTGAACTAGATTACATCTCTGGCGGGGTGAATGACATCAACCTCTCTGTTGTGGTGTCTGAGGCTAATTTGGTTGGAAATCCCAAAGAGTAGTGGGTTGACACTTGGGCAACTCGTCACATATGTGCGGACAAAAAGATGTTCGCTACCTACAATGAGGCTGCAAATGGTGAACAACTTTTCATGGGAAATTCTTCTACTTCTACTGTGGCTGGACAACGAAAAGTGATCTTGAAGATGACATCAGGGAAAGAACTGACCCTCAACAACGTACTGCATGTACCTGACATCTGAAAGAATTTAGTTTCTGATTCTTTGTTAAGTAAAAATGGTTTTAGGCTTGTTTTTTAGTCTGATAAATTTGTATTAACAAATAATAGTATGTATGTTGGTAAGGGATACATGAGTGATGGTCTCTTTAAATTGAATATAATGATAGTTGTACCAAAAGTTGCTATGAATAAGAATAACACATCTTTTGCTTATATTCTTGAGTCGAATTTATGGCATGGTAGATTAGGACTTGTAAATTATGATGTTTTGCGTAGATTAATTAGTTTGGATTATATATCAAAATTTGAAATTAATCCTAATCATAAATGTGAAGTTTGTGTAGAAGCGAAACTAATTAAGACTCCATTTAAATCGGTTGAAAGGAAAACCGAACCTCTAGAATTAATTCATACTGATGTATGTGATCTAAAATTTGTTCAAACTAGAGGAGGTAAAAAGTATTTCATAACATTTATCGATGATCACAAGATATTGTTATGTTTATGTACTTAGAAGTAAAGATGAAACCTTAGAAATGTTTAAACTCTATAAAACAGAAGTTGAAAATCAACTTGTTTCAACTTGATATTTAGCCTCTTTATAGAAAATCACTAGGGAAGATTCAAAGCCGAAAGCTACCTATCCTGATGCAAGATATTTTCGACTTATACTTTTTCGATAAAGTTTGCATATTGTTACATTTCCGTTGTCATCAAATTCCATTCATGTGGGGGATTTTTGGAAAATGGTTTGAAAAATTCTGGATAAAACCAGAATTCTTTTCTAACTTTGGTCTACTTTTTAGGTGAGACCCAAGCGTCGATTTTTTCGGGTCAAAGTGGTAACGCGTTTTATGTCTCGTTGTGATTCATGTGGTATATTTGGTTGCTCAAAACCATTACCGAGTGAATGGGAAATTGAAGCCAAAATATGGTCCATGGAAATGAAATTTTGGTGAAAAAATCCTTAAAAATTTGAATAAGGCTTGTCCCACATTAATTTGGTGAGAAATTTTGAATGGATTTATAAGACATGGTATTGGAACTTGAGGTGTGCCCCAAGAGGTACCCAAGTATTTTAGAGAGGGAGATTATGGGCAAAATGGACTGAACCTATTGGATCCAAAAATCACTACACACGCACGCGCCCGCCGTCGCCGTCGCCGTCCGTCCGGTCGGGGATGGACTTGTCCGGCCCAATACCTATCTTTTTGGGTCAAAAAAGATTTGAATTTTATTTTATTTTTTGGTAAAATAAAATACAAAATTCAAATTAATTCCAGAAATAAACTGGTCCGATTTTAATGTACACCCAAACAGGACCCTTTCCGTTTTTATCTGTTTGAATTGTGAACCCAACAGATTCAAATCTGTTTAAATTCAAAACCAAACAAGTTTCGTACCTGTTCAAACAGGTTTGCACTTGTTTAATTCAAAACCTGCAGCCACCAATCCATCTATAAATAAGACAGCCTCATTTAATGTTTAACATATTCAGAATTTTCGTTCTTAATAGCTCTGCAAATTTATTCTTCATTTTGCTCCATTATTTTCTTGTGAGAGAGAGTACAAAACACTTAGTGTGTTCGTTGTACAAATATATTGCAGTGCTGCATATATTGTTGTAGATCATTTCATCCTGAGAGATAGACGTCCATATTCTGAAAACACCGTAGAGAGTACGAATCTGTCTTAAGAACACAGTGTCAAACACTAGACCTGATCAGATGATTATTCAAAAACATTAATCAAATTGTTTAATTTATTATTCTGTTTTATTTATTTATTTAAATCAGATTTTAATTTTATTTTTATAACAAAATAATATCTGTTTTTATTTATTTATTTCTATTTTTAATTTGATTTTTGTAATCACACAAATTTCTCTCATTTCCTTTATTTCTTTGTTATTCTGTTTGTTGTTAAGTATACAAACAGAATTAATCAATTACAGTGAAGATTGTCAGACACAAATGAGGTCCAAGATTCGGCTTACTCTTCTGGAGACAATTCCATTTTCCAGTGATCCCCGAAGAAACATCAGTGTTTTGGAAATTGGTTGTTTCTGATAATGGCTTTCTTCTTCGAATAGCTTCCTTGTCAACAACTGATGAATCTGTCACTTTACCTCTCAACCGATCAAATTGAACCTCCATTGACCTTTTCAAAGAACTGTCATTATTTGGCCTTGCTCTTCTGTTATTCCTCGTTGAAATGAAACCATTTTCTGCAAACATATTTCCATCATTTTCTTTGTCGTTGCTTCCACAAGTTGGTTTTCTTGTTGAATTTCCATTAACTTTAATCAAATCCAAAACCCGTGCTAAAACCCCATGTTTTTCTGTCTGAGCAGGTTTCTTATCTACAGAATCCCTCGAATGAGTCAACATTTTCTGAGATGAACTGTTGTTCGTGCCTGAACTTCTATTGGTATTCAATGACATGATATCTGCTCCTCTGTTCTCTCCTTGACCATCTAAGCTTGATTTTTCAACATTTTGGGCTGAATCATCATTATGTTTTCTTGTTGGTTTTCCTTCCAATACTTGTCCAGAAATCATTTTGACAGGCAAGCCATTCATAGATGACATTTTGTTCCCTTCGACAGCGTTGATGTCCTGAAAGTTACAAAGAATAAACAAATGTTAACTACAAACAACAAACATTTTGTTTCCTTCAACATCTTTGTTAAAAGGAACGCTTTTCCAAAATTGTGAGCATTTCTGATTGCGGAAGAATTAGCTTCTGCCAATGATCAATTATCTAACAAATAAGTTACCTTCAACAATTCTCAATTAGTTGTTTATAGCCGTAACAATTCGAGTCCAGAATGTTTGTTGTGAGAGAGAGAGAGAGAGAGCAATGCTCTTTTCCTTTCCTTCCTACTCAACCAAACAGAAGTGACAAGTGAGGAATCCATCTTCCCTTCCCTGAGGATCTACTTTCCTTCTCTACTCCGTTCGCTTCACTCTTAATTTTTCTCCTTAGGCCATCTCCAATCCTAATCAAATCAGATATCAAATTCAAATTTGATGAAAAAAGGGAGAAAACCCAACTCCAATCGTTTCTTCAAATAGATATCAAATGAAGGGAGAGTAACTTTTTTCATCCAATCAAAAGAGCTTTATCCTTTCCTCAAATTTGTAAGTAGCTGTTGGGCCGGACATCCTTCCGAACAATTGAATTTTAGGATGAATTAGGAATTTTTTACTCTTCACCGGACGACCAACAAGACAACTGGCTGGATGACCGGCCGAATTAATGAAAACCGTTGGAGTACATTTTCATCAAATTTGATGAAAATTTTGATGAAGCATTGGAGATGCTCTTACAAGACAAGTGCAACTGAGTTAAACCACATAAACAAACCATAGCCTAAAACTCAGAAGCAATAGACAGTGGTAAGGTTGCAGTTACCTGTTCAAGTTTCAAAATTTAAATTCCTGAAACAATTAAGAGTTGTGATTTTGCCATTAGTTGTTTCAGAATTTTTTCTAGCTATAAACAACAATGAAAATACTGAGAACAAAAAAAACTACAAAAAAGATGAACTAGAGTACCTTGCTATTATACTGGCGGTGATCATACTCGTTATCCCTATCAGAGCTGTTACATTAATAATGCCATTTGAAGATATCTTCTCATCAGCAGCCAATAGATGATCCCTTTTAGTAATTCTTCTAAAGTCCATCAAATTCTCTCCTTTTTCTTTGCTGCAGTTTTCAGCATTACACCCCACCCTGTCACATTCACTTTCTGTAAAAATAGAACCTTTGAAATCATCACTCGTATCCAATACTGGAGATTCATACGCATAGCTTGAAAACCATCTTGTAATGTCTGGGGGCTCTGGAAGAGTAAAAATTACAGTCACAATTTAAAATTTGTTATGACTGATTAATCCCTTATTATTTTGTCATGTAAAATAAAAGAAGAAAAGATAACTTGGAATCTTAAACAGCCATTCCAAGCTCAACTTAAGATAAGATTCCAAATTTCTTTTTTTTCTTCTTTTCCTGCAATTTCTCGGGGACCAAATGAGGCTTATATGAAACTTGAAAGAATTTCTGGAAGAGTTGATGCAAACCTGAAGAAAGTGGAAGGTTTTGAAACTTTAAAGCTCACTTTTGTACAAATAGCATGGGAAGAAAATAAAATTTTGTATTTACTGAAGTTTCGAATCTCACAACAGACACATTAATATAAGGTACTGAGTTTTCATTTCTTAAGCTTTCATATTAAGCAAATAGAAAATAAATGCCACAGTAGTCAGAAGATTGATTATTGTAGAAAAAGAAAGAGCTGATGACCGAGAATGAAGCTATTAATGAGAGAAAATCACAGGGTTGGGGGGTGTATAAGTTGTAGTGTTCTGCATCTGGTTGGTAAGACTAAATAATAACTAAGAGGGTTAGAGATATCATACATTTTCCAATTACCCAAGTAATAAATAAATACAGCCGAGTTGCTTCAATACGTGCAAAAACTTAACAAGAAAAAGAGGGAGTTTGGTAAGCTTCTATTATCTGTTCAGCATTGACCAATGATCTAAATCTTTTAAATACCTAATTGCATTCAAATTGAAGGCAATGTACATTTCTCACAAACACCGGTAATCCCCTAGCCTCAACAAGGTCATGATATTCTTGTAATTTCATGTGAGCTTTGGACATATCTCATGATGAACGTAATTTAAAAGAAAACAAATTAGGAAGGAGAAAAAAAAAGTATACAATTTGGTGTGAGCTTGTGAGATAATAAGATCACAATTCTAAGTTAAATAAAAAATATATATAAATAAATAATAAATAATAAAAAAAAAAAAAGGGTGCCAAAGAAGCAAAATATACAATCTTTGGCTTCAAGACAACATCCACAGCTGAAGGTGCATGTAAATTAAAGATGGCTACTTTTGAGGTCTCAAACCATGAAACTCTCAGCCTCTCACATAATAATGAGTTTAAAGAACCTTAAATTAGCCCAAATATATTGGTTGTGCAGACAAATGAGAAACCAAGAGTAGAATAATAGAGGTGAAAACCTAAACAACAATTAATTCAAATCCTCATAACTACAAATGTGGCCAACATTTTTTAGCACATCCATAATCTTAGGACAATTGAATCACATATAATCTAATCAAATGCCAGCCAAATTCCTTAAACTAGACTGATCATCACAAAAACTAATTGAAACATACTGAAAATTTTCAACTCAAAAAAACAAAGTCATAAATGGGGGGGAGTAGCTGATCAAGAAGAGTACCTGACTCGCGTTCTTGTTTCCCTGATTATAACATTCAGCAGTGTCGTTAGATCTCACAAACCCAATTGGAGCTGTTTTCTCACCAAGAACTAATTCATCCTTGTTTCTAATTTTCCTAAATACCCCCAAATTCTCTTCTCTTCACAGTTAAACCCCTCTTCCACAAATTCACTTCTTCTAAAAGGATAGCCTTCGAAATCGTCGCCTGTATTGAATTCCGGAGACTCATACACATAGCTTGAGAACCTGTTTCTGATGTCAGGAGGCTCTAATAAACCAAAAGGCAAAGGAATCAAACTCGAAATTTTTTAGCAGGAAAAAAAGCTGAAGAAACTTATCAATATAATCCCAAGATTTCACCTTTATTTTCTTTAGGTTTTCTGATCAAACAAACAGGGTTTATAATTCAGTATAAACCCAAGGCTGTGTTTGAAACATGGATTTGGGTAAAGATTTGAAAAGAGAAAAGGTGGGTGAAATATAACTATATTTTACGTATCTTTTTCCAAATCTCAATCCCAAATTTATGATCTAAACACGACCTAAGTCGTCTTTTGAAAGAAGAAACACGTACCAGAAGGAAATGAAAGCGAGCTCGCAGTACCCAGAACCTGCAAACGATAGCCTTTTTGTTATAAGTTTCAATGCTCTGTTTGGTTGCTGAGAAAAAGGAAAGGCAAACTTGGAACATCCAAAGGATTTTCGTTTCTAGGCAACCAAACAGAAGGAAAAATTAATAAAATTACCTGAGAATGTGAAGAATGGGAATCTGGGTTTGAATGTTTAGCCATCATTCTCTCTGTGTAAACGAATTTTCTCTCGCAGCATTTGTTGTCTCTCTCTCCAGGGTTTCATAGAACGATGAGAGGTAGGGGTGGGCAATGGATATATGGATCCGTCAAAGTGGATCGAATCGGACCGATCTGTCGTATTTTGAACGAATACGTGATGAAGAGTGGACGGTTGTGGATTGATTTTCTTTAATTCGTCAATTTGGCAAACGGATAGCGGATTTGAGGTTCCTTTGACCGCAACCGAATCGTCAAACCGCTAGTACCCTTAGTAATTTATAAGATTTTGTTTTTTCAATTTATTTAAATATTTTGTTTGTGTTTTCAATTGAAAAAGAGTTCAAATATTTTGTTGAAAAAAATTTTTCAATTTGAATATATTTTTTGAATTGAAAAAAATAAACGTATTATTTATCTATATTTTTTTGTTTTTAAATCTAACTCTAAAAGTAATAAATAGAAAATATGAAATATGCTGGTTGATTTTAGTTTTCAAAACATATATAAATGTAACAATACAGAGACATAGAATCTCAACTATTGCTCTGTTCATGGTTTTTGTGGTTTGAATTGTTTTTATATTTGAATAACCACAGATTGTAATACTTTATGTGGATAAAGTTTCAAACTTTCTTTCTTTGGATGAGGCATGCAGTAATTGTAATACTTTTTTAAGCCATTGACTGTAATACATTTTTTTTTTTGAGGAAGTGCACAAGTTGAACTATGTTAAAAATTTATAAAATTTTAAACCGCTAAACCGATTCTCATCCATCTGCCAAATCGCCAATCCACTCAATCCGCATTCGCCGGATTGGAGGACGGATGTGGATTGATTTTCTCCAATCCGTCAACGGATGACGAATTAGAGATTTCGTGGTCGCAACCGACCTGCGCCCACCTCTAATAAGAGGTTTTTGCATAATTTTTCAAATCTCACGAGTATTGTTGGTGCCAAAAGCACCTTTGAAACTTCAATAGTGTGAGGAAAGAAAGTGTAAATTACATTTTAGTATCCTATATTTTTCGAGAAAGCATATTTTGGATAAAATTGGGTAGAACTACATCCAAGTGACAGGAGAAAAAAATTACAAATATATGAAAGATGTAAGTGTATTTATAGTGGAATGCAAATGAAAAGTTGTGGGGTTGCATGTTACTTGCACCCATACATGTATTGGTTTTTTTTTTTTTTTTTTCCTTTTCCCACCTATATGTAATTTCTCATAAAATTGAGGGGAAATCACTGATCAGTGAAAGCTAATTATTTTTATTTACAAAAAAAAATGATAAATATTATAAATATTAATAATTAAAATTATAAATTTCTCCACTTATTTGTAAATAAATTTTTCCTGTTCCACTCATCAGTGATTTCTCCTAAAATTTAGCCTCTTGTAATTATTGGTAATTATACTTGGACCTCTTGCATATCATAATATGACACTTCAACTGTATTTTATTTATAGATTTAGATAGAAATTTAGGAAGTGAAAAGAAAAAAGTGATTGAAATGTAATTCTATTTTATTCACATTTGACTCATATTTTTTCTTTCTCTTTTCAAATTTTTATCTGAATCTATAAACCAAACACAACCTTATCCTCAACTTAAAACTATATCAAGTGTAAGCCTCGTTTTGGTAATTGGCTAAAAAAAAAAAAAAAAAGAAAAAAAATCACTATAAAAAAATAAAATTTTGTTTTATTTTCATACACGTCTTTTTATAAAAATTTAATTAAAATAATTAATTTCTAAAACAATTATAAATTTGTATAAAAATCACTCAAAACACATTTGTTTGACCCAAACTTATATCAATTTGAGTTTTATTAAAAAAATTACTCAAATTTAATACTCTGCCAATCGTGACCTTTTTACTCAAATTTATATTTAAATGTTGAGGTGTATTTATTAGAGCAGTTGATATTAAAAAAAATTTTTATTTAATTTTTGGACAAATTACATATATCTCCCTCAAGGTTTAGCAAAATTATAGATACCCTCTGAGGTTTGAGAAATTACAGATACCCCCCTGAAGGTACTATTTGCATAACAAATTAGGGGGTAAATTGTTATGAAAATATAAACCTCATGGGATAATTTGTTATGAAAATATAAACCTCAGGGAGGTATCTGTAATTTTCGAAACCTCAAGAGAATATCTGTAATTTAACTAAACTTCGAAAGAGGTATATGTAATTTGCCCTTAATTTTTTACTTGAGTTTGACTAAGGAGTAAAGATGGCCATACATCCACAAGGTTTGACCCAAAGTAATGCCATTTGTTTTTTTATTGAAAAAAAAATATTGGGCATATGATTTTTTTACAAATTAAATTATATTCTTAGGATTTTTAATATTTCAAAATAACGTTTATTTTCTTCTAGACTTTCTATTTATTAGTTTTATGTTTTTTTATTTTGGCCAGGACTTGTGTAGTTTTATACTACGTTTCGGCATTACTTTACTTTGAGTTATTTTGAAAAAAATTATTAAAAGTTGACATTTTTAGTTTTTTTATTTTTTTAAAAAAAAAATTATGTAAAAAATGTGAGAGATAATGTAACCCAAAATAAATTAAAAATTGAATAATCACCTTTCCAAAATAACCCTTTATGCCAATAAAATAAAATAAGAGAAAATTACTGAGAAGTCTTCTTTGAAAAACGTGTAGTCTATTTAGTCCCATAACTTTTTGTTTATACCCAAAAGTTCAGTAACGTTATTCTTCATCTTTGTCTTTCTTCTTCTATGCCTTTCTTCTTCTCTTTGTGATTTCCGGCAATCGTTGACGGGTAACCATATCTTGCTTCTTCTCTTTCTCTTTTTCTTTCTGATATATAGTCACCAACGACCAACGACTACCATCGATTGGGATTCACCAGTGTGGGGATATATTTTCTAAATACCAACACGTGGCATGGTGACGCCGACGTGTCAGCCGAGGTGCCATGTGTCGTGGTAGTTAAGCCGAGATAATCTCGGAGTTGCCGAGGTTAGCCCCGAAGATATCGGAATCCGAGATAAGCAGATAAGGGACAAGAGTCCTAGGATAAAGAGGGGACTTAACCTAGATAAAATTCTTAAGGGAGTTCATCTTTATCTCTTAAAGAGTCCAGAGTAAGCAGTAAATTGGAGTTCATAGAAGTCATACTTCTAGTAGGACTTAGATTGAGTATATTATAAAAGAGAGGCACCCCCGTGGGTCTAAGGTATGCAATTTATGTTTTAAGTGTTAAGTTTTGCACTTGATTATCTTTGAGAAATATACTGACTTGATCGTCGGAGTATCCCCGGGTGGAAGAACCACCGCCGGAGCCTTTTCTTTCTGTTTCAGGTTGCTAAAGCCATCTATTCTGCCTGTGCTCTCCAGTTGATCACTAAGCAAGCAGCGTGGTCAGATTTTTACCCACACAACCAGCAACCACCGACCGCCGACTCCTTACCTCACTGACGGTAAAGAAGATATGTTTCCGACGAAGAAGATGAAGAAGATAAGTAGATCTACATCAGATCCGACTAGATCTGAACAAAAAATAGTTGCCGGAGTACAATCCTCTCTCCTTCGATCTCTTATTTTTTTTACATTTTCTCTGTTATACACTTCTCTTTTTTTGTTCTAATGGAGAAAATTTTCAAGTTCTGTACAAATTGTTTTTGAGTTTTAGTTACAGGCAGTGAAAACTGTAAAATTTTGCAGTTTCAAATTTTTTTGGTGTTGGAATAAATCATGGTATTAAACTGTAAAATTTTACAGTTTAATAACATTCTTTAGAATTGTAAAATTTTACAGTTTCATAACATGTTTTCAGTTTGATTAATAAAGATAAATGCTTAATAGATTTTTTCTTTGAAACTGTAACATTTTACAGTTTCAAAACTTGTTTTTCAGTTTGATCAATATTGGAGATTATTTGCTTAAACCTTACAAAAATTAAAAAATAGCATATCTTTTTCCCATTGTTGCTGTTTTTTGTCGTTCTATTTTTTTTTCTTTTAGTTTATCAATATTTAGCACATTTTGTTATGTTTTTTCACTCTAATTTCTTCATTTATTCTTCTTCTTTTTTTCAGGCAATATTGTGCACATTCCGATGAGTCTCTAATGATGTTCTTAACGTCCAGTGAACGTTCTGAACATTCCGGCGACTTCCATTAATGTTCATAACACTCCGGTGAACTTCCGACGATACTCTAACGACTTCTTGGTTATATTGAACATTCCGACGAGTCTCCGGTGACCGTCGACAAAAGTCTGACGATAGTAGGATGTAACAGTGGCTGTAAATTAAAAAAAAAAATGATTTTTTTTGTAACAATTAAAAATATATAAGACTAATTGGTGCAAGTGTTTTGTTTGGAGATTAGATAGGTCTTGAACTTTGTATATGGGACTTATTGGTAAGTTCCCCTTAAAATAAATACACCACACACACCATTGTTTGTCCCATAGTGCATACATTTTAGGAGATTATTTTTTCAACAATGATTCATACTACTAAAAAAAGCACAACTAATAGCATTAATGCATTGAAAATATCAAAAAAAAAAACAAGGCACATCATTAATGCCCTCATTTTAGTGCTTCCACCCATTTTTCTTCTTTTTTATACTGAACAAGAAACACGTCACAAAATTCTTTTTTATACTGAACAAGAAGCTCGTCACAATTGTTTGTTTGCTATTGATGTAATTAAGTGCTCATTTGTTATCATCCTAGGTTAAAAAATTACAAAATGACAAAAAAAAGTAAAAAATTACAAAAGGACAAAAATTACAATTTGTCATTCTAAAGCCAAAAGGTCAAAAAATTCAAATAAGAAAACTAAACAACCAAAAAAATTTCAGGCTAAAATAGTCCAAAAAAATTAAAAAGCCAACTAAAAAAGCCACTGTCAAATGACCCTAATTTAGGTATTGTTTGGCATAAACTAAAAAATTCAAAAAGTCGAAAAATCACTATCTTATTTAAGTCACACCATCTTATTTAAATCATGTCACCTTTCTACCATATCACTTCAAACTCAACCCATACCCAATCCATATTTCATAAAAAGTTAAAAAATACACTTATTTAGATCATCTCAAACAACTCATACCCAACGAATTGCCAACGCTTCACCCTGCAAAATTGAGCCTACATCCTCAAAGCGAGCTGCTCCTTCCATTACCGAGCCACTACTGTTACGGAAAATCACCGCCATTGAAGCTCTGGAGGTTCCAGGCCTGAGTGCAACATCACAGTTTGCTTTGAAGCTGCCTTGCCGAGGAGGAATCCACACTCGATCCGAAGTTCGATGGGAATTCAGCCGAGAGGGAGTAGAATAAGAGGCCCGTAGTGCCGAAGCATATTCACATGAGTCCTTGGCTGCTCGAAATATGACAGAGAGAGGGTCGATGGGCTGCTGGTTGAAAACCATGTCATTCCGACACTTCCATATATGCCAAGCCAACCAATTACCTGACAAAAATAATCCACTCTCTCAGACTGAATTGAGATATTCTGATACACTTCACAGGTCCATCTTTGAATCGAAACAATAGGACTCAGATTTGTCGCAATGCCCAAGCTACTCCCAAACCACACCGCCCGCGTCCATTCGCAACCACAAATCAAATGCTCCATTGTTTCAGTTTCCTGATTGCAGATAGGACATAACTCATCCCGAGCACAATGACGTCGGAAAAGGTTAACTTTGGAAGCCAACAGATTGTTACACACCCGCGCACCAGAAGTTCCGGAGCTTTTGAGGTATTGGAAGGGCCCACAAGAATTTCCAAACTTGCTCGGGCATCTGAAATGAGGATGATGGTCGAGTTTCGGATTGGTGCACTGATTCCGTGACTGCCACCCGGTATTCGGACTTAACTGAGTAGAGTCCTTTCGGATCATGATGCCAAATGAGACGATCATCTTGAGGCTCAGTCACAATTGGAATCAAACAAATCTTATCAACCTTATCCTTTGAGATCACACTCTGCAGCACATTTACATTCCAGTAGTTGGTATTGTGGTTAATTGCCTCACTCACTTTCGTTAGCTGACATCCCAAAGGTTTCTGAGATTTGACACAGAAGTTTGGAGAGAAAGTTACCCATTTATCATTCCAGAAATTAATGGATTTCCCATTAAACACTTGCCATCTGACCCCTCTCTTTAACACCTCTCGACCCACCAGAAGACTGGTCCACGCCCATGATGCCCACGGACCTTTTCTGGCAGTCCAAAAATTTGACTGAGGGTAATACCGACCCTTGAAGATTTGAGCACAGAAGGAGTTAGGAAACTGACTGAGCCGCCACCCTTGATGAGCTAGCAGAGCTCTATTAAAAGAGCGAAAATCGCGGAAACCCATTCCGCCTTGGAGTTTAGGCATTGTTAGTTTGTCCCACGCTGCCCAACGAATACCTGTTGTCAGAGTCACCTTTCCACCAATAATTGCTCAAAAGTGCATTCAATTCAGAGCACAAATTCTTGGGGAGTAAAAAGAAAGACATTGCATAGGAGGGAATTGCCTGGGCGACCAATTTAAGAAGAATTTCCCGTCCCGCTTGGGACAAAAGTTTAAGCTTCCAACCTTGAAGTTTATCGCGCACCCTTTCCACAATGTAATTATATGTTGCCCATTTGGATCTCCCCCAGAAAGTTGGCAGACCCAAATATCTGGATCCCAGATTAGCAGGGGCAATGCGCAGGAGATCAAAAATTTTTCGTTTATATCCTTCACTGGTGTTAGTGGAAAACTGAAGGCCTGATTTATTGAAGTTAAGTTGTTAGCCCGAAGCTTGGCCGTATATAGCCAAAACTCGGAGGATTTCATGACAGTGAGCCACATTCGCTTTGAAAAATAAAAGAGCATCATCGGCAAAGAAGAGGTGTGAAAGCACTGGGCACCCTCGACTGATCTTAATGCCTGAGAACTTTCCTGCTGCCAAACTTTTTTGAAGTAGTTTGGATAGCACCTCAATCACCAGTAAGAATAGATAAGGAGAGAGAGGTTCCCCTTGTCGAATGCCCCTAGAAGGTATAAAGGTCGTTCGCACCACCCCATTAACAACCACAGCGAAGGTAACTGTTGTAATACATTGCATCACCCAGTTAACCCAAATATCATGAAAGCCCATCTTACGCAGAACCGCTTTAAAAAAATCCCATTGAACCCGATCATAAGCTTTGTTAAAGTCGAGCTTCGCAGCCATGGCCGATTGGGGGCCTCACTTGAGCAGTTTAAGATAGTGAAAGGCTTCATGGGCGACCAGTATATTGTCTTGGATCATACGACCAGGAACAAACGCCGATTGATAAGGTGAAACAAGCTTTCCTAAAACTTTTTTCAAGCGATTAGCCAGAATCTTGGTAATGATTTTAAGATTAAAGTTACATAAGCTGATAGGTCTAAATTGTGAAAGGGATTCAGGAGCTGAGACCTTCGAAATCAAAACCAAATTAGTTTGGTTCCACTCTTTTAGTAGAAATCCACCCACAAAGAAATTTCGGATTGCCTTACAGACCTCATTCCCAATTTCAGCCCAAAACCGTTGGTAGAAGAACCCTGAGTACCCATCTGGTCCCGAGGCTTTGAGAGTACCCAGTTGGAATACCGCTGACTTGATTTCGTCGTTTGTTACAGCCCTGGTTAACCGAGAGTTCATCTCATTAGTGAGAACATAATCCACTCCATCTAAGGCCTTTTCCATATCCCGACTACCGACCGAAGAGAATAAATCAAGACAGTAAGAGTGCAAATGGTGGTCAATCTCCTCATCGGACTCAAGCCACATCCCATTGGCATCCTTTAGGCGCACTAATTGGTTTCTCAGCCGACGTTGGTTGAGGGTGGCATGAAAGAAGGCCGAATTTCTATCGCCAAAAGATAACCAATTAACCCAAGACCTCTGATGTAGGAACATCTCCTCTCTCATCATATACAATTCCATTTCGGACTTAATAGAGGCTTGATCCGTAATGTTTTGATACATGGGAGCAAGGCTCTGAAGGTAATTCAACTTGAGTTTGCAAGCTGCAATTTGTTTCTTGTTATTGCCAAATGCATGCCGACTCCAAGATAAAAGGCCATTACTACACACTTTCAATCGCTGGACCAATTGGAACATTGGGGAACCAGATTGTGGAGAGGCCCAGGACCGTTTAATAACTTCCCCACATTCTGGACTGGAAGCCCACATAGATTCAAACTTAAACACCCGAGGGACTCTTTTAGGAGGAGCGCAACAATTCACAAGCAAAGGACAATGGTCAGAGCCGAAAATGTTTTCATGGAATACTTGTGCCTGAGAAAACTTATCGCGCCACTCCACCGAGGCAAAGGCTTTGTCCAACCTTTCGCGAATATTGGCTGCCCCAACTTGGTTGTTCGTCCAGGTAAATGCATTACCTTTAAAGCCAAGATCCATCAGAGCACATTCCGATAGCATACCTTGGAACTCGTCCATATGAGATCTAGAACATTCCACGCCACCTTGCTTTTCCCACATGTAGCCAACTTGATTGAAATCGCCCACACATAACCATGGATACTGATTGACCTAAGCTTGATGAATCAATAGTTGCCAAAATTCTTTCCGCTGAGATCTATTAGGAGGGGCATAAACAAAAGAAATAGCCCACACTCTATCCAAATTTCTGTTACCGACAATGCATCGAAGGAGGTGTTTAGACTTGAATCGAACATCCAAATTCAGTTCTTCCACCCACCAAAGAGCCAACCCGCCAGAAGCCCCAACCGGGTTCACGTAAAAACTGTGCGTGAATTGGAGTCTTCGTCGAGTCTTCTCTAGTTTGGAGGCTTTATTCTTTGTTTCCATTAAAAACACCACAGAGGGGCGATGGGTTGAGCACAACCCTCGGAGGATCTGAACTGTCAGGGGTCGCCCCAGCCCCTGGCAGTTCCAGCTCAAAATCAGCATGGATCCCATGGCTGTTGAGGGTCAGCCACCTTAACCCGTTCTGAAAGTATCGAAACTTCATCCGGAAAGCTACTAGGAACTTGAGAACAACAAAGCTCCTCACCCTCTTGACTCCATGAGATTGGAGGCTGAACCAAAGCATCATCATCTAACTTCCTCTCCAAGCTAGCCCCAGTGCCGCCACTCAAAACCAAGTGCGAGCTGTGCCCAGTTCGTCTCGACCATGAGGAATTTGACCATTTTCCACCTCGATGAGGTTTGCCCTTTCTGTTTGAAGCCACGACAACTTTGCAGTTGACATTGACATTATCCTGTTTGAGCCGTTTAGGTTGGGTTTCTTCACCAAGCTCGTCCTGGGCCTTCCTTTTAATAGATAAGTCTTGGAAACAAATGGCCATACTCTTATCTAGAGCCTGATCCATAAAAGAAATGCTAGTTGGGCTAGAACTAGGGCTAATTTCCTCAATTCCTATTTCATAAAGACGCCCAATTCCACTTCCGCAGCTAGGAGAAGGCCTTACAATCAAAGTATTATCCAAGGGTTCAGTGACAAAATAACTTGGTCTAGGCCCACCAAGAGCTTGGGCTGAGGATATTAAAACCGGACCAGAATGATTACTTCGAGTGGTCTCTGTCTGACCCACAAGGATGGGTTTTTCCTTCAAATTGGTTATATTAACATTCACCCCTGCCACCTCTGCCTGTGGTGAGGACGTGCCACTAGGGCCACTATCCCTCCCAAGTTCTGACACCACGATTTGCCTCAGAACATCAGCCTGATCCACATTGCCAGCCTCTTCTGGGGTGGGTATGCACGTGCTGTCCTTGGGAGGCACCGTACAAACGGCTTCCCTCCGCTCCGGCACCGGTCGGTTACCACCCAGGTTGGGCATCCGTTCCTCCGCTTTGTTCGCCCAGGGATGGACCTCCTTTAGCGGTACATTCAACATAGGAGCTCTGGTGGTACGCAATTCAGGCCCATAACCAGACTGCTGGCCTTCCGCACGAGACACAAATTTGCAGGAGGAGTTATCGTGGCCTATCATGCCACAATCATAGCAAAAATCAGATAGTTTTTCATAACGATAGGAGATCCAAGATTCTTTCTCCTCATTCCCTGGCTGATGTAAAATTAATCCCAAAGGCAGCGGTTGAGTCACATCCACATCCACATCCACTCTGAGTCTAAGAAAGCTCCGATTTAAAAGGAGGCCATCATGAAGGGCCTCAACCCCAATAAGATTCCCAATTCGTCGACCGATAATCTCGCCATTTTGGCGTGTCAGTTTGGCCATCGGAACACCATGTACCTGAACCCAAAAAGGGCTCCATTTGAACTCCATATCTTCAACTGGCTTTCCGAGAGATAGGGGCTGTAGGACTAGCAAAAAACCCATGACAGACCAAGGAGCTTCTAGTAAGACTCGTTGCTGGTCATCTGCCTTATCAAATTGAAACATGAAAACATTATCTGGCCAAGACGAGATCCCCAGATTTGCCTTCGGCTTCTAGGCTTTCATAATAATATTGGTGACTGCAGACTTATTGAGGGTTTTGGGGGCTAAGATCTTCCCAACCAGACAGAGGTTCGAGACATCAACACACTCGTCAGACCCCTCCTGGAGTTCCACAAAATCCAGTCCCTCCGAAGAGACCGGTGCACGATCCATGAAAACCCAAGGTAGAGAGAAAAGAAAGGAGAAGTGGAAACCCAAAGAATAGAAAAGAAAGAAGAGAGACAGCGAGGAGAATGATCCCAGAAACTGCACTACGGCGGTATAACTCTCATTCTAGAGAGAGATGCTCTCATTCTAGAGAGAGAAATCTTTTTAGCAGTAATTGAACCTTTAATTATGATTTGGATATGATATTTTGTCATATTTAACTAAAATAGTCAATTTTGTCTAATATGACTATTTGGCTATTCTTGCCCGAATGGGCATGCCAAACATAGCCTTAATAAATATCCTTAAATACATGATTTTAGAGCCAAACTTACGGATGGGCCTTTTTTTTTAGTCCAAAATCTAAACTGTTCATTTTATAAAGTCTATTATATATATTATTTACCAAAAAAAATTAAGTATAATCGTAACCTATTCAATTTATAATTTTGTCAGTAAAAAAATTAATAGTGTATTTTTACAAACATATTTACCATTCATTTTTTTAATACAAATGAGACAAAGTGAATATGATACAATCATCGGATCGAATTAATTTTTTTTAGAGATGATATGTACAAAAGATCTTATAAACTGAATAATTTGAATCATTAAAACGAGAACTGTGATGAGTCATACGGCCGGAACAATCTTTACATTCCAAATTACAATCTTTACATTCCAAATTATGGACAAACGGAAACTTAAATCTAAAATTGAACTCAAAAAAATAAAAAAATAAAAAAATTATAGAATAATATAATCAAAGAAATTTTTTTGAATTGACTGAACTTTCCTCCAATCTATAATCTGGATTGGACGGTGTTGTTTGGGTCTGTAAAGTTCATTATGTGGCTCATTTCGATAATCTAAATCGTTCATTTTGTAAGATCTATTGTGTATATAATTTGTAATTTTTTTTAAATCAATTCGATAATCGTAATCTATTCAATTTATTGCGTTTGTTATCAAAAAAATGGATGATCTATTTTAAAAATACATTTGTTGTTCATTTGTTTAGATACAAATGCAATAAATTGAATAGACTATGATTATCTGATCGACTTAGTTTTTCTTATAAATATGATGTACACGAAAAATTCTATAAAATAAACAATTTTGATCATCGCCGGATCTATAGTAAATCTCACTAGCCCATTTTATAGGGGTGGGCATACAATTGGCCGTGTTTGGGTTGGACCGAAACTACATAATAACGGATTTTGTGTCTACCCAAACCGTACCTAGCCCTAACATCAAGCCTCTAGATCTGTCCAAGTCTGGCCCAAAAAATAATTATAAATTCCAAATCCACCTATCAGACTATATATTAAAGAAAATTTTAAACATTTCATAACTAAATTCAATCACATATTAAATAAACATATTGACATCATTATAAATTGAAAGAATTTGTAAATAAATTGAGGAATTTCTTAAATAAATTCAATCATACCTACCATATATGTAAGTTTTAATAAAATTAACAAAGACAAAGTTTACATCGTAACAAAAAAATATATTTTTTAATATATTATAATTAACTAATTAATTGAATAGCAGGTCAAACTAGGTTACAGTATAAATCTCAAGCCCAACCCCCCATTA